TCGATTGGGCCAATAAGCTGGCGCGAAGATGCCAATTATTCGCGACAGCGTGGCTGATCCAATCGTTAGGGTTTTTCAGAGAATGCGAAATCTGTCAGAATCCCCACGTGTCGCGAAAATCCTTTCAGTGCATTGCAGATGACTGTGATGTTTTTGCAAAAAAAAAATATATATAATACGTAGAATCGTAATACCGTATACTATAGCGTGGGGTATTATGTTTTGTTCGCCGTGTCTCATTGTTGGCCCGAGTCTAGCTACCTCCCCATAACAGACACGGACGCCCAAATAAAAAAGCAAGACCATCTCGAGCCGGCTGCGTTGATCATCAACTGTTTTGCGCCGGGACTTTAGCTCCCATTAACAACCACCGTGAGTACTAATGGTTTTGCGAGTGGAAATCAACAGCTCGAATAGAAACACAGGGATATTTACTCGATGGGAATACGTGCATTGGCGAGATCAGGCTGATCCTAGTAAAGTTTCCTGCCTGGTACCAGATTGGCAATGGTTGCGCAGACTTTCTGTAACGTTGGCTAAGCCTCGCGGGCACAACTTCATGCGCGAATAAATTAGCCTGCATAAATTAGCGGATCGATAAGAAATATGGAGTATGGGTGTAGACAAGGAAATGTGTTGATAATGGTTCTCTGGCAAATAAGGGATGCTCATTCGTCGTCGGTTGCGACCTCGGCGTGGTACAAGGGTAACGATCGCATTTTTCATTCTGTGGATGTTTGTAAATTAGGGAAAAAAAAATTTGTTTATGGATTCTCCGAGCACGGCTCTTATCTTCCTTTGATATCCATATGAACCACCCTTTATGCTTCGTTTTTATGTAAATTATTGTCAAGGGCTTTAATCGTAGTGATGAATCGAAATTTGTATGTGCACACGTTAAATTTAGGTAGTATCTATGTGTAAATGTCTTTTCTCTCCTTTTTTTCGGTGACCTCGAGTGTGACGCTCTCACCCGTAGTCTCGAAAATTGTACAGAGTCGAGCGAGGGCGTAAAATTGATCCCGTCATTTTGTGAATTTTATGTCACGTTTCGCGTAGGAATACATTTAATTTATGTACACAAATTTCGAACGGCATTTTGTATTCGGGATGATAACGCTATATACAAATATAGGATTGTACGTGCGCGTGTCTCCACATATCGCTTCCACGTGTATCCAGAAAGCATCAAAGCTACAGCATGGTGACCCACTCGAGACCACTACACCCTATAGGTCCATACACGTTATCGGCCGCTTCTGATGCACTGTGTGTACCTGGCTGAGCATGGACACGAATCTGTATGACTCTTCCACCGACTGTACCAATATCGACGAACCCGGTCGCCCTATGACACACGTCATTATACGAGAAAATCGATCGCGATCTTTTATTAACACGAGTAAACAATCATTTGGATGGGAACAAGACTATCGTGAAATTGCGACTGGTGCAATTTTTTTTTTAGCGAAAGTTCACAAGTGCGAACAAACATTTTTTATCGTATACGCGTATCGTCACTCGAGGGAATACATCGTGCAGCTGCAAGACTCATCTTTATACCCTGGTGCATGTATGTTTATGCATTTCGCGTATACCGGCTAATTTGCAAGTGCAATATTGCGCTTATGGATTAACGTTAATCGATCGGCCAACGATTTTATAGTGAATCGTGCCAATCGAAAAGAGGCATTGTGCTTCGGTGAACAGATTTAATGATAATGCCGGATAATTAGATTTCACCGCTAATTCCTGTTACCAATCAAGGCATTATCTGCGCGGATAATTACACACCGAAATTACCTATTCTCTGCAAATCTCTCTCTCTCTCTCTCTCTCTCTCTCTCTCTCTCTCTCTCTCTCTCTCGCCCCATGCCTACCATCAGCGCGTAATACTGTGCTGCACTCGGTATGGTTCTATCCATCTTTTCCGTCCTTCTCGCTCTCGCACGTTCAGTCCGTATATAGGAATCTGGAACGACGGGTCAAGGTAGTCGACATAGTGGGTTGTTCCGTGAAAAGCTACAGGAATATAGGTCACAAGAGTAGTGCGTGGGTACCAGTTACTGGAGGAACGTTCTAAAAGTTTTGCTTCGTTACTGCAGCGAAGCGATAACGACCTGCGGTATATCGAATGTTTTTTCAGGGTATAGAGAGAAACGGGTAAAGAAGGGAGAAAAAGTATTTTAGAAAATAGATAACGAAAAACGATATAACTCGATAAGCCTCGCAATTCCCTATTTAAAAGTCACTATGAAGTTCCAACCATGTGTAAACGTAAGTCATAAGAAAAAGACGATAAAAAGAGGAGTAACGTGAAAGAGAAATGGAAACAGGCCACTTACGCAATTTCATTGTAACGGCGTTTACGATTGTCAATTATCGTAAAACTCAAATACTATAATATCCTTCGTATTTTATCTATACTGTTATTATTAATAGATTATATAACGCGAGCTTACGAATTGCCCTGAATTCGAGGGAGTAACGTGTATCTGTATATAAGTATATACCGTGCCACGTATATGCGCGAAACGGAACGAGAATGATTAACACTGGGATGGGCTATGGCGTCTGGCGAGAGCAGGCAGATTTATCCTGGTTTCGCAAAAGGCATTCGAATCTCCAAGAAGCGAACGGGAAGAGCCGAAACGCAATTACAGTGGTCCAGGGTAGTAGATCTTCGGACGTGGGATGAGCGTAGTTAATCGCACCGTTGCTTCATCTCGTTTAAGTACACTTTATTAAGCGCGCCGTTTGCGCGGTGCATCCTGCGAGCTTCCTGATAGGCAAATAGAGTCATAAACGTACCGTCTTCAAAATTCGAATGGCGACGTCATCCTTACGAAAAAATACTGAAATTAGAGAATTGCCAATATTTTTCCCATATCCTGATTATACTAACTCGCGTCAGAGACACTGCACTCGAACGATCCATATCGCGAGAATTTGCAATGTATTGTATATGTTATATTTATAGAAATAAAAAATTTTTTTATTCTTGCTATCTTTTCTTTTTTTTTTTTTATACCACTTGATTATACACTTTGTATTTTGATTTACGTCTGCCGCGCCGTTATCCAATTTATAATTCCTGTTTGTGTTCCTTTAATCAGCGTTCATTAAATATTGTCTGTTTACCGGAGTATTAAATTTAGGGCGTATCTGCCGCCCTTCCCGTACAAACAGCCACTCGTTAACTCAACACGATATGCCTTAGTTCTTCGCTTTGACTCTCGTCGCGATTCGCAGACGTTACACGTATACGATCTTCAAGGTAGCGCATACGCGTATACGTATCGTTCCAAGGCAGAACGTAATAGATGGTACGTATATTTAAGTTCGGTCAGAGAAAATCCGTGCGCTTTTATTTTCATCCCTTTATTTTCAGTATTTCTCAACGGGAAGTCGTAGAAGATAGAAGCGGCGGGAGGCTGAATTTTATATACGGTATGGATTGCACGGGAGGGAGTGAGACAGAGAACAAGAGTCTTCCTCCTGCACTTTCCGCTAGAGGAAGCTCTGAAAATATATATACGTAGTACATACACATTCCACGAGCAAAGAGAAGTGATCTATGCCTTTGGAGTCTTAAGAAGTTACGCCGCAATTAACGATGACTTTACGGATCGGTAAATTCTATAACAAAGAATGACCAGCTTTTTTTTCTTTCTTTCTTTATCAGAAGTTCAATATCATATTGCTACAGTATAAGAGTACTCTATTATTGTCAAGAAATCCGTAACTGCAGTCTTCGTTCTTCTCCTTATGTATCTATATATGTATATATATATATATATAAAATATATATACTGCGTAGAGATAGATAGCGAAGGGGTGTACACACATCTTCCCTTATACCTAGTGGCGGAAACCGTGACGTGAAAACAAAGCACCAGGCGCGGCTTCTCCTCTGATGCAAAGCTCTGTCTAGCTGTAACCTACCGGATGTGGTAATTAATTAGTCGACCCCACCAGACGTGGAAAGATGATCACCGAGAGTTGCTCCGGAGCAGCAATATGTCGCATCACGTTTCATGTCCGTTTATAAAGTAGCTTTTAACTAGCCGAATACACTGTTTATTGCCTTTAACTGTAAGCGGTCTCGCCTATAGCACGTACTATACCTATATCCATACCTACTGGTTGGTACCTGTCTGGCTTGATACTCTAGTTACTAGGTACGCTATACGTACTTGCGAGAAAGTTTGCTTTGTAAACGACTATCCCTCCTGAAGGATGGAACTTTCTGATGGGAAACCACCAGGCAATCCCTCGTCACTCTACGGATAATTCTGTATCGCCCCGATAACGGTCCTTTCGCTTATTTTACGTGTCGCCTGTTTAACGTGCAAATCTTAACTTACCTTTACACAGCTGGTTTCGACGAAGACATTCTTATAGACTTGCCAGCGATACTCATTATGAAAAGATTTCTCGTATACGTTATCCTCGGGTGTTTCGCCTGGCCAAGATTATTTTCCCAAGCCGTGGCCTAAATCGCTGTTGACAGCAGGGCAATCGGCCATTAAGGAGTCTCTGGCACGGCTTCCGCGAGCGGACAAGAAATGCCTCCGATAATCAATCTTCTATAAGTTGAAGTCTCGAAACCCTCGGTCAGACAAGAGTAGAGCCCAGGCCAAATCTCGGATGGGTTTTGCCACGCAAGATACCGTCTGCCTTATATATACACTTATGTATGTGCATATATATAGATATATATGAAGGTCCTGTAGGTGGTTGCACGGTGGGAACTTATTCCAGCGATGCCGTCCTAGTCTTCCTCTACCTCGTCCTCGTGATCGTCGTTTCCTCATTACGCGCCGGCAACTTTCCTCTGACTGATGACCGTTCGCGCCTGACAGTGCCTCACCCAACCTAACCTATAAGCAACGGCGTCCCAAATCCCTCGGCAACTCGAATCGACGTTCGGCGCAACCCTTTTTGTCAGGATCAGATCCACGCGTCTCATTCATGATTATTCTTTGCGCTGCTTTCAGGGAGCAGCGAGGAGTCGAGGACGGGTACCAGCGATCCTGGAAAACTTGGCGTGAAGAAACCGAGGCCTAAGGCGTCCTCGCCGAATCGGCAAGGACCTCAGCAGTGTCAGGTCAGTACTCCACAATATTTTCATTAGATCATAATTATCTTCTTGAGATTGGTCACACGAGACTTTGACTCTATCGGAGTTCACTTGGGATAGTTCTTTTTTTTGTTACCTTGACATTTGCCCCTGTCGTTGATCTGGTTTGGATCGCAACACTAGAAAAATCGGAAGAGAAAGCCGTTGACTCACTGAAGAATCTATAATATGTAATAAATAAATGGTGGCAGATAGGAGTACAAAGGGGTATTCACGGCAAATGCATCAGCGTCGGACGCGATTGGAAAATTCTGTTAATCGAGGCAATTTGGCCTTTTTAAAGAATTCATGATCTTAGCAATGACGTTAACTTTCATTTCTCCAACGATGCCACTCTGCTCTGATTCATGAAATCATAAATTCACGACCAATTTCAGCTGATGCGTTTCCTGTGAAGTAACCTTGTACATGAAAATATATATGTATGTACACTAAAAAATATAGATGCCAAAGATAGAAATCGATTCAGAATTTTAGAGATGAAATTTAAAAATTTCTCAAATAGGATTTGTATTCACTCGTCATCCTCTCGAGACTCCTTCCCCATTGCAATTTGCAAAAGCAACCACTCCAGCTGGACTGGGCCAATTTAAATTCATACATGTGAGTGCAGGAGATGGAGGACCAATAGACGCACTCACGTACACACCCACGAAATTCAAGGGTCGCAACGATGACCCGCTTTAAGGAAGAGCTTCAGCAAGGCCAAAGCTTCCCTGGAAACGTGTACATCTCGGTGTCTATATATACCCATTTCTGTGTACGCTCTCTTCTCGTATACCCATACATTCCTATTCGTGAGGCGTGTACAGCCGCGTGCCCATATACCAAGTATATCTATATACCAAGAACAGAGCACCAGCCTTGGGCAAAGCGCCGGGACACATGTGTGTAACGCAGAAAGGCTGCTGAATATTCAGTCTGCGAGTCCTGAGCGCACCGGGCGAACACAGGCATCCCCTGATGTTACAGACATACGCAATACCAGGCGTTCCCGAGCCCTTCAGCAATGTTTAGGAGTTACCAAAACCCCTCACCATTCCCGTCCTCTCTGTGCACTCGCTCCCTTCGCCCGTCTCCTTCATCCCGAACGGAAGGAGCCACCCTCGGCCTTGTTCCGTAATTAAATGATGGCCTGCCCGACTTGTTGACAAGCCTCGTCAATGTATCAAGTTAGCGAGGAATTAACCTCCTTCCTCCTGCCGCGACGCGCCCCTCGGCAAATTCGCAGCGACTCGATCTCTAATCTTGTGACCTGACACCGGAACGACCCGATGGTATCCTGCCGTCCTTTCTAACGACAGCATCCGTATACAGTAATCCTTGGTCGCGACTGTACTTGGTCGCCTCTAGTTTCAATCCCTTCAATGGTATCTCATCTTGGCTCTCTTCCCTTAATCTTTTTTTTTTTTTTTTTTCTTTTCCTCTTTCCCATCCACACGCTATATACTTTTCTTCGTTTGAAGTTTAAACTCTCTTACTCCATTTATCTCGCTCGCGACGGAAGTGCACGTTCATTCTTTTCCAAGAGTACACAGGGTGGATACGGCATCCTTTACTCCGCAGCGCGAATGTATCTCTTCTCTAATCTTTATTGTGATGTACGATCAAAGCAATCACAACGGTCGGGTCGTTAAGTTAATTAATTGACTGTAGGAGTAGAGAATCGGGTTGGCGGTACTCGTGGTATCCTTGGGTTATGGAGACGTCGGTAAGCGTCGCGACGGGTGTAAAAAACTTGAAGAAAAATAAAATAGACAAAATTATCACCACTCACTCTTGCACTGTAATCACGCTGTGCGATCCGTTTCTTATCTCTATCTTAACTTCGCGTATTCACTTCTGATCCTTGGACGTAGCCTTAACTGCGTTTCCAACGCGACGACAACACTGTTCGTTAATTAACTAGACTTTGGAGTTAGTTGCCTAGATACCTACTGCGCGGTAGGTGACGTCACACTTCGTCCTAGTTGGATAAGGACCAGTCTACAGCGAACGTAAATTTACAAGGCTGGTTTAGCCGAGTCGCTCAATGGAAATCAACCGTTTTCACGGTAGCGTCAATGATAGATATCCATGGACAAATTACGTATTCAGTTTGGAAAATACGGAGTAGGGGAGGCAGAGAAAACGCTCGGAGTCTCTAGGTGGGATGATGACAACCATCCAGCTAAGGGATGGAGTAATGATGTTTATTTAGCTTCCGAGTGATGGCGCTGTACTTAGAGGGCGTTGGGTGTTCCGTAGTAGTTATAGCTGTCAAAGGCATGAGGGATGAAACGGGGCGCGCCATTCGTGGGACATAGAGAGGAGTTTTGGATACAGGCAGTACCGAACTACAGTGGTTGGGAGGAGGTGAAGAAGGAGTGGGAAAGGGGGGGAGGGTGTTCGCTGGGATACGTTTCGCGTAAATTGAAACTCCTCCATTGGCATTCATGCATCTGGAGCTCCTTGGGCATTAAGCTACGCAAATTAGAATTTCTGCTTGGAAGCAGAAACGTGCGACCCACACTCACCCTTAAGCAGCAGGGTCCTTCTGAGCTCTTTCGCTAAGCCACTCTGCATTCTGCCTCTTATCTCTCTACTGATCTCTGGACCACTCTGATGATCCAAACTGGCTCCATGAAGTATCCACCCAATATTACGTTTGTCTCTATCACTCTGCCGCTACCTTAATCCTTTAATATTCACCTCTCATTATAGCTATGTATATATATTTTATGAATTTTCCCATAATACAAATATTCTTTTCATCCTTAATTTCTGTTCTTATTAACCAGTATTTTCAATAGGGCGAGAGCCTGTGGTCGTCCACGTCAGACAGCACCTGCTGTTACGTTTAAGACACCTCTAGATCCATCAACGCGTAATAGATATTGATAAAAGCATTTGATGCGTATATCAGCTGATACCTGTTCGGTGATAAGTGATAACGATTGGTCTGTATCGGCGAATTAGCAAAGATGACAGTTGTTTACGATTATCTTAAATCAGAGGAATCGGATCCATGCGTATTGTATCGCGATGGGAATGTCGCTGATAATGCAAGACGTTTCCGATAACGATGCATCCTGCGTCACAATGCACGTGTTTCCTAAGGGCATCGGGTTCAGGTGCCCGCAAAATTAATTTCCATTTACGCCGATACGTCGATTACCCGACGGTAATAATGCTTAGCGTAGGTACGCCTGTGCTCGTCAGCGTCATTGTTGACGTCCTCGACGTAGTTCGCCTCGTCCTCGATCTCATCCCACTCACCCTCATCCTTGCCTGGAAGCGAACTCTGAATCCAATGCTCAGAGATCATAAGATCGTGCCTTGTAATTACAGCTATACGGATGCACCACCTGCAGCGTACGGAGCGCGCAGTATCCTCTCTCTCTCTCTCTCGCTCTCTCTCTCTCTCTCTCTCTCTCTCTCTCTCTCTCTCTCTCTCTCTCTCTCTCTCTCTCTCTCTTATGCATCGTGACATTCCTTAACCCATACTAGTACTTAATACGAACGGGAATCCTCGACGTTATACGCGTATACGATTGTGGTTATTATCCACTATTGAATTAGCAAGTAAGGACACAATCATCAACCCTCTCTCATGCAGTTTATATCTATACACACCCTCTTATGCATCCTTCTCTCACCCCGGATATACTCTCGTTAATACTTATCATTGTCTCTCTCTCTCTAAAACTCCCAACGCATCCCCACTCTGGATCTGCCACGACTCCGAGAGTTTGCACATTCTGCAAATCTGAATTCGCCATTCAACCAGTGGAACCATCCACCCCCTCTCTTTCTGGCTACTACCATCCCTTTCCTGAACTAATGGAACAATGTTCCTCGTTCCTCGTTTCGAAGGTCTCTCCGTTATCCAGTGGCAGGATTCCCATCTCCTTGAAATAGTTGAGACGCCACCAACGTATAATAAACTGAAGCTCGGTGCAGCTATGCAACGTGTATGAAAACCAAGCAAAGTTCGATTTGTTCATCGATACAAGAAATTCCTGTTTCCGTAATCGAAAATTATTAGCGTTTATCGCATAGAGAATTGAATGGCTGCACTCGATATCTTACTTAGCCATTGGTAGCTGACATGTTATATATTTATACTGTGTGCTCTGTAGACACGGCTTTGCTTCTAGGGTTCACTTTGACAGCAAGCGAACCGCGTGCGGATAATTAATCCGCGAGGAAATTCATTCAGGAGGAAAGGTATTCCATGTATACTCTATATAGCAAACTTCGAAAAGACTTTCAGACATCAAAGAGTCTATACAGCGGTTTGACTTATTCAGAATAGCGTGCATCAAGGGAAACTTTAAAACTACGATCGCACGAGTGATTACACGAGGATTCGTCGCGTTGTAATAATTCGACTCTATGGGATAATATGAAATTCTTGACAATCATACAAGTGAAATTTGAATGATGAAATTAAACTGGTACAGCATTGCCATAATGTCAGTCATACCGCATGCGTTTACAGGTAAAGTGGCGTAGGCACTGTAGCTACAGTACCTGCTCCGATACTAAAAAGTTGATAGACCAACAAAACGTAGACTTACGCAACGTGGATTATACGTTATAATTCCTACATAAGCGACAAACACTGTTACCAGCTGAATTTATTTCGATAAAAAAACCAGCAGCGCTATTTCGATAATAATTACGACCAAAAATTCCCCGGCTAATTGAATCGTATATGATTTTATATATATATTGAATTATATTTTTATATTGGACACATATATATATATACTTTTAAATACATATATTTTTCATATACATGGCTTTTCTGTACGGATGTCCTCGCTCGTAATAAACATTGACTCTCTAATCGTCGTAAAATGCTTACGGGAATCACGAGAGCTATGTATGCTAATTGAAAATTGCCAGACGATTTAATTGACGACCCTGGGACTTCAGGTTGCGAATGCCCTCTGCCAAATCGAGTTGCAAATCATTGGCACCAGAGGGAATTCATAGGCCTCGTATCCTGGTGCTCGATTTACATTCTGACCAAATTCCGTTTACATAATGACATCGTTACGTCCGAATTTCTAGAAAAAAAAAAAAAACAACCAGACAGGATTCACGATTAATTCCTAATTTTCGTGAAAATTTCTGACTTGCAGGTGTGCGGCAAAGTGTTCAACAACGCATCGGCGCTCACGAAGCACAAGCTGACGCACAGCGACGAACGGAAGTACGTCTGCACGATGTGCGGCAAGGCGTTCAAGCGGCAGGACCACTTGTGAGTTAACCCCATCTCCGTAATTATTAAAGGTCTCCTTCATACGTGTATCCACAGCAATCCACTTCAATCCTCTCTTGGTCGTTTATCCACGTCGGTATAGAAACTCATAGATCCCCTTTTTTATGTACGCACGCCGAAGCCCCTGCCACTTCGCTCTGTGCTTTTTTTCTTGAAGGACTGAACATTATTTGCATGCGCACACTTCACGTGCTCTCTCCTCATCATCTCGACATTATACCATCGTATGTATCGTACAATCAGCACGCATCGAGTTTAGCTTTGAAAACGGTCTTTTAAAGAAAATGGTACGACGTAATGGTATAGAGCGTGGCTTGGTGCATCGATTAATGACGAACGAGACATAGGCTTGAAGTTTTGAAAAGGACGAGGAATGGAAGTAAAAAAAAGCATGAACCTACGATAAAGGAATGGAAGGAGGAAAAATAATATATGGAAACCCAGAAGTTTTAGTGTTATTGGAATTCGAGAAAACTCGAGCGAGATAAGTTGGTCGTGCTAGCGTCGCTCGGCTTTACAATGACCCGAGACACGAATGGAAGTTGGAGAGAATAGCAGGTGGCGAGCTCAGGGAAGCGTACTATGGGGACTAAGGATTCAATTCTTTCTGGGAATGGGAAAAGGAATAAAAGAGAATCAATAGCGGCGCAGAGGTTGGTTCTCTTGCTGGTTGCCTAGACGGCTGACTCGGATGCTCGGTTCGACGGCCAGAGTCCTTGTGTTTTCTTCAAAGGCAGATCTCCAAATCCCGAGCACAACCGTCTTCTTTAGTCTTTCCTCATTGTCGGGGAATCCGGGCAAGCTCGTTCGACCCATACGTTGTTTCTTCTTCTGTCTCTTAGTATCCCATTGAAAATCGAAGACAAGTCGTCAATTAGGATGTAACTTTTTTGGTATACAAAAATTGTATCATAAAAAAAAGGGGGATCGCGTGAATTCCTTGAGAAACTTTTCAATGCCTGAATTGCTCGCCTCGAAATGGCTCATTAAGAAGTGCTCCCCGTGGATCGGCAAGAGTCCCGTGAAAACCTATCATCCACGAGGGAAACTCTCCTTTCCTTCTTCTATCGTGAAAAGTAAGAGGCTCGTAATGGCAATAATCGTTTCAAGACTGGCTCGCTGTCCTTCCGTCTGTCCAAACGACTCCATTAAATTGAACCGTTTCTCGCGAAGCTGGCGCTGCACGCGGATCTCTCTCGTTTCCCAAGATTCCATTCTACTTCGATGGTCATTCTACGTGGCAGGACGTTAAAGACTCATTCGCAGAAGTTGACTTTGAGCTTCCGCCACCAGGGCACGTACTACCGACTACTACCCGCCATTGTACTTAAGTACTGGTTCTTTCATGCACCAATGTATATCTCTTTCTCTCTCTTCAACCGCTTTCATTAATTATTTCTCATGACTTTTTTATTTTTTCACATCCCCTAACCCAGTACCACCAAACAAACCCTAATGGCACGTACCGTGCATCATACATTTGGCTTGTTACAATTTAATTCTTAAGCTCCGACCAAGAGCAAGCTCACGCTAAAGATCTCTTTCGAGTTGATTCGTGTAAAGTCTGTTCTTAGTCGATAATTAGTGCAAGTTAAATCTCCAGCCCCGCCTCTCTCGCAGTACCAACCCCTACGTGATTTTAACTCTCCGCGGGCACAGCCTCTCGACTTTACTGAACCTGGTATCGCCAGTCTTCTACTTCTTTTCCTGCTTCACCTCCCCAGGTTCTCTACTTCACTTCTTTACCCACCTTCGAGTCCCTTTCCGCCTTCCGGCCAGTCGGAAGCATAATTCGGGCGGTACGTAGGTACGTTAAAAGTTCAGCAAATTAGCTTTTACAAATTAAACCCATTCCGGATGGCGGCAGAGTAACTTTACGAGCAACGAGCGGCATCGCTTCGTCTCCCCTCTGTTACCCCTTCTATGTGTCTTTTTAACTCTCATTCTCTCTCGCTTTCACTCACTCGAGAACGAGTGGGAAATCGTTCGTATTGGCAGACTATAAAACTCTTCGGCCGCGAGTTGTTAAAATTTACTGGAACCGATATACGAGTTCTACCTCCGTCCCAGCAAGATCGCCATACTGGGACGTAGCTTTGTAGCTCGTTTAATACCATCAAACTTGCGGATTGTTACTGAAGGACAATATTATTATTGTGCAGTTTACCACGCGTACTCATAAGTCTGCTTTTATCGTTGCTAAAACTCAGATTCGATCCTATATTGTACTGGACGAAATCCCATGTTCCGTTTAACGACGGTTTTCCAGCGAAAGAGCCAAATTTCTTTTTTTTTTTTAAACGCATCACAGCCATTTTGGTAAATTTGCAAAGGTGCGGTATAATATTAAAAAAATAATACTGTATCGGATCTTTCATTTATTATCCAATAAAAAAGAAGATCTGAGTAAAATTGAAATGAGAATTTTGAAAAAAAAAAAAATATTTCATTTCATCCTGAAACCACTTTCTACGATGCGTTACCTTTACGGCGATACGCGTACGAGGAGTGCGTGTTTTTTTGAATAGCTGCTATAAAGTCTCGGTATATCGGCTACGACGGGAATCACGCGGAATGAGAATCTAAATGGATTTGTGAACGCATGGAGAGGAATTCACTGTATCAGGATTTCCTGAGCGAATAGATTGCCGATGGACAGACAGATAGATTCCGCGCGATTCGGCAGAGTTCACTGAACAGGGTTGCAGCGGGCTGGTGCATGCCAAATTCGTGAACTCTTGGCATTGTTCGGAGTGCGTTCACGTGACCGCCGTTAGCCAGGGGTTGAATTTATATGAGCGTTGGCCGACAAAGGCGACGACGTTCGTCCCGGATGGTTGGTTTTCGTGTCGGCCAAATCGCTCGTCGAATAAACAGAGAGTCACAAGACGACCAATGCAAAACCATCGCCAAATTTCATTTCATCCCGTTCCTTCCGGTTGGGTTCATCCCTTCAGTTCCTCGTCCAGACCGTTAATCGCTGTAGCGGCCACGTTTACGGATTTACGCAGTTTTCATATATTTCCTTCTGTCCCGCAGGAATGGTCACATGTTGACACATCGGAACAAAAAGCCTTACGAGTGCAAGGCTGAGGGCTGCGGGAAATCGTACTGTGACGCTAGGAGCTTGCGGAGACATACGGAAAATCATCACGCGGGTAGTAAGGTTAACGAGAGCGTGAGTCCCAGCAGTCCCATCACTGGGCCACACACGCCTAACACGCCAAGTAGTAATCCCAGCACTCCAAGCACACCTGGAGCAACGAGCACGCAAAATGGTCACGGTCACACTGCCCTGAAGCAACTGCTCGCTACGGAACCAACGCAAACTCAGCAGCACAAGGTGAGTTTTTTAATAAAATCAAAAAATTTACGTTTCATAACTTCGGTCGACCCTAGAACCCACGTCGAACGGTTCATTTCCTGGATCTTACAACTTATTTCTTGTATCCCCTAACCGTTACTTCCGGTACGAAAAAAATTTACCCAGTTGGACTCGCTGTTTTTCCACGTTCGTCTGGAAGTCACTGCTGTCAAGGCTACAGCAGTCCGTCCCTCTGAATCGACGTCGACGTAGCCGTCGCCCATTGCTGTCGACAACCCTAGCAAAAATTTATTCCGGCGGGAATCCGGGCCGTATCAGGCTGTCCCTAACTGATAATCCGGCCCAGATCATGCCGCTCTTCCGACCCTGATGTGGCATGTAACGGCATTTCTGATCCGGCACTGATCAGGCTACTGATCGGGCCCACATTAGGGAACATATGTGGTCCTGATCATGCCCTGATTGGTATTATATCCCGTTGCCTGATATTGATATACATTAGATATACATATGTATAGACGTTGAAATGACAAACAGGTAACATTTTTTGAAAATATCGTAGGTAGTGGAGTAATTCAGTGTGACGTATTAGGCCTTGCTTTCAAGGGGTAGGAGAATTTCTGCAAATTATAAATTAGTTTGTTGATTCTAAAAAATTGTATATAGAAGCAGTGCGATGGATTGGACTACTAGGTGCTGTAAGTTAGTAGCTTTTATCGCCTCTTCGTCTCTTTTTCAGAATTTTATAAAGTTTGGAGCTTATCGGCTCATTGACCCACTTTTGCTTGCGGGTATCCCTGTCCCTCTGGTGGGCGGTGGTTGTATTACATGTATATAGTTTCATATTAGGGCGATTTCAGTGTTGCCTGATTTCACACCTAATACGGCAGCTCTGACTAACGCCTGACTACGGCCAAGTCAGATTTTCCATAATAGGGCTTGCCATGAAATTGCCTGATGCGGGCCAAGTCAGGCATTCCGTAATAGGGCTAGCTGTGACATTGCCTGATGAGGGCCTGATCCTGGTCAGAATCTATATTTCAGGCTGATCACATTTATAAATATTGTACTGATGCATGATCAGGACAGGATCTGGGCCTCATCCGGTTATCCTGATCAGGCATGCCATACCGATACCTGATCCGAACCTGATACGCCATCAGGCAGCCTGAACAAATTTTTGCTACAGACGATAAAAGAGTGCGAAGGGAAGCGAACGAAGCGTGTACGTAACTGGGAGAAATTAGTTCTCGACCGTAGAGCACGGAATTATTGCCGCTTTCAAAGTCCTGTTTTCTCCGTCTCTCTCTTTCTCGTTCTCTCGTCTTGTTATTTCCTATCTGTTTCCTTGTCCGTCTTCACCTCGCTACAAGAGAACGTGATTAGACGGAGATGCGACGGAGGGAAAAGGGCACGGCTATAGGATTCGAGAGAAAGCGGAGATAGGATGAGACAAAATACTGGCTGCTGGAGGGTCGCGGAAATCGAGGGTGGATCAGAGGGTAGCGCCGTCGTGGTAGGTCTACACCGGAGGGTGGGTAGTTAAACCGAGACTACGAATCTACGATATTGAGTTAGAAGTAAAGCGGGCTGAAATGGAGCCAATAAAATTTGATGACCAGGAACTTCGTAATGAGAGCGAGACACGAGGAAACGAAAACCAGTTCGGACGAGGAAGACCGGTAGTCCGTCTCTCCCTGGATGTCCGTATTTTTCGAAATTTCGTGAGGATTTCACGATCTCGTTCAAACTTTATTACGCGTCGTTTCTCGTATTATTTAACTGTTCATTCATATCGCTTATAAATTTTTTCTCCCAAACCCCGTAGCATTGGGTCCTCTCGACGTCTCGGGTCTTCTGGTTTTCTGTATAACGGATTCAATGCATTACTATAAGCTTACTGATTCGAGTAAACCGGTAAATATAATTCCCCATTGAATTTTAGACGACCTAGCTTCTCGAAATTCAAAATCGAGAAGCACCCAATATATACAGAGCATTGCGTACAAAGGTTCCCGTTAGCGCGATCGTTGAACGGGAAATGATTTCGTCGGCAGCACCAAGAAAGTTGGCATCAAAGAGGTCGCGAGTCGCCGGGACGAGGAGGCCGGCTACACGAGGTGGCTGCACACAATTTCCATCGGAGTCACGTCGACTTAAGCTACGAGGAGCGCCGATCAAATTTGCCAACGAATACGAATTTCCACGGGACACGCTTGTGAAAGAGGGAATCGCGTATGCGGGCCAGTGAATTCGCGAGTATTGGCAAATCCCGTTGAGTCGGTAACAAACGCTGGGGCGCGAAGGTGGCAAAGGGTCGAATATTGAACATCAAACGTCTATCGCCCGTAGGACCAGCGCACGGCGAAAACTACCCCCTAACGCAAACTCCATTGCTTTCTATACATATGTAAAACAGGAGGACCTCGATTTGACAAATTTTCAAAATGATCCAAAACATAAATCGGCACGTTCGCTCCTGAACTGTTACCTGGGTGTGGGTTCCGTGCGTCTATACCTATATTTCTATTTGGGTAGGGGTTGGATCACGAAACGAGATCGCCACTCGAAAACCAGGTCGAGGATACTGTAACTACTGGTAGTAACTTAGCGTGCAGTTTCAGAAAACGAAAGCAAAGAGTGAGAGAATCACGCTGCGGAATGAACCAGTTTCGGGTTTTTGAGTTCCCGTTGAAGTTAGCTGTTTCTTGAGGTTTCGCTTCGGCGTTCTAAACGCATTGAGAAACTTGTCGGAAAACACGTAAACCTCACTCCTGAGTTACGTGATACATCGGAACCATTTTTAAAGCTATTTCAACCCTAGTATCTCTCTCTACAGTAAATCTGTACCGTATCGATACGCTATTGAATCTCGATCAAGTTCAGATCTGGTAGCTGGTCTGATCTGGCGCGCTTTCTCACCCCCTTCAAACTCCATGTGACGTGATTTTTTGACCCACAAAGCGACTCCACCTACCGATTCAGATAACGTTCTCGCTTTCTGGTTCCCTGCGAGTCGCCACTCTGCTCAGAAGCTGCGCTTTCGGATCAATTCGTATCAGCTACGCCAAGGGTCTCGGAAAGATTTGCTATTGTGTAGTTGAGGTCGAGGTGCTCGAATCTGCCGTGGAGAAATAGTCTCGACGTACCGAGTTGCCCGACAAAGATCCAGGTGAGACATCGGCGCCCCGCTGGAGAGTGGCAAAGGGCTGTAGGGCGAGTGGAGATATAGTTTTGGTACGGTTAACGCCAGGGGCGGAACCCCTCCCGAGGGGGTTACGTCGTTCTGTTAGGTTCTCAATCAATTGCTCTCTGTTTCCGGCACTATTTACCTGATGCTTCCTCCGACCCTCTCGGTCTTAACTTAGCAGCCTGAACGGCCGTGCATATCTGTGACGGTTTGTTGATTTTACGCGACCTCAAAGATCAGCATCTACGGTTGCGTTTCTCGATTTTACGCGTTTCCAAATACGACAGGATCCGTTAAGCTACCATCGTTTCCGATAGGTTCGGTCAGAGCTCTCGTTCTGACGGGGTCGAGACTCTTCCACCTCGACTCCCAGGTCATCCCGGCTCGTCAGGTGAAACAAGAATTGACTAGCGCCCCCCTTTCATGCGGATGCGCGAACGAAGGGTGGACGGCCGAAGGTGACGTAGGTCATAGTTCTCGGTTTAACGTTATCGGTATCGAGTTAAGAAAATACGTTACAGTACCTAGCTCTCTGGCATGTCGATGAAATAAGGGAACTAGGGTATGAGCAGCTACAGCTCGCTCGGAAGAAAAACAGCGCAGCATACGCGTCCGATTAGGCAATCACGTAATTGACCGACGAACTCTGGCAAACTCGGCAACTCCGAACCTAACCAAACTGAATCGAACCGTGCGGAGCGGCGGCGACGGCGGTAGCAGCCCCTGCTCCGCTTGGGCAGAGTTCAGTTAGGGGAAACCGAGCGAAGGAGACATTTGGCGCAGGAAGAAGGAGCTAAGGGGGATGACGGGAGAGGAGAAAAAAGAAAAGCTTCCCTATCTAACTGGGTCGACGTTCCCGACACATCATTAATCTGAGATATTGCCACCGATCGTGGCCAATATCTACGCTCACGAATTGCCCTTCGATGGGTTATCTTTCACGGAAGTGGGTGCTGAGCCAGTTAGTTGGGCGACGAGGGACGGGACGCGGGGCGGGAGAGGGGAGGTCCTGCCTAACTCCCACTAACTCGTTGGGATAAGACCCTCCTCGCGCTCCTGCAAACTTTCCACGTGATTCCGTTCTATACCGCATGGCCTTAATTTCAGATTGCATGTGTCTACGTGCGTTCGCTGATGTAACTTTAAAATCTCCATGATGAGGGAAAGATACTTATCGTACTAATGGGAACGGGGTCATCGCGAAAAATCATGGTACGAGATGTGAAACGACGAGTTCGTGACGCCCCGGAAACGAGAGGAGCAACCCTTGTGATATGAGTTTTAATTTAAAGCTTATCAAACTTTTTAAATTAACACCAACAACCCCTTTATCAGATTGGTATTACGATAGGATACCGAGAAATTAATGTCACGCCGAACTTTACAGAGCTCACCGAGGTCGGTTCTAATTAATCTCTCTGGATGTAGCAGGGAATTCGTACAGGCGTCAATCGTCGCGGAGGGATGCACAAGGATCG